TTAGCATTGCATTATTATATACTTTATTATAATAAAAATTATAATAAGACGAACTCAGATAAACCATATATATATATATATATATATATTGTAAAAGGTAACTTTTAAAAAAGGTAGCATATTAATCTTTGATTTCATGTTGTTTTAAATATATAATTGTAAACAAGAAAAACATATGTTTTTTTGTTTTCTTTTTACTTATTTAACTGAAAACTCATGTTCTTAAATAATACAGAACAGGACTTTAATTCATTTTATTGATCGGTTCTGAATGGATCATGAAAAGCAGGCTGTTATTATTGGACAATATCAAATTTTCCACCCTTTAGGTGTTTGTTACACCAGTAGGGAATTTTTTTTTTATAAAGGCAGAAAAGGTTATTAAATCTTTCAAAAAAAAATGTTTTTTTTGAAAGTTGGTAAATACTAAAAAAATAACATCTAACATTTTATGTATATTTATTTATATTTATAGTCATGCCCAATAAACCATGGACATTTAAATATTTATTAGTATTATTGTATTTGTTTTTATTACTTAGTATGTTTATTTAAGAAGACATTTGTATTTAAGTAAATAAGGTCAGTTTTGATTATTTCTATTTTCTTTTTTTAGTTTGAGAAATGAACACATTCTGAACTGTACTGTATGTCAACAGCAAGTCTCGCCTGTGGCTTCCTACGCGACCCTCCTTAAGTGCTCGATTCGTCAGCCAATAGCGTGTCAGCAATCCTCCTAATTCCTCAGCTCCTGACCAATGAGAGTCCAGAGTCCTGTCGTGAACCCGCCCAAAGTCACTGCAGCTCTGGCTCAGGGGCGTCACACATTCTTTGTAATGTTTACTCAGACTGACAGAATCATCTATAGCAAACCAATCTGGAAGCAACCCACAGTCACTGGAGTGGAACTGGATTGAGTTAAGAGATGACATTTTCTTCAAAATATCACGTTTATGACATATCTGGGCCGGAATGCCACAAATTTATGCCCTGGAAAAAAAGTGAACTGCCTATTGTGTGACATTTCTGAACATCAGCGGCGTCAAGGGTGACCTTCTTTCTCTGAGACCAAATCATTTGTATATGGACTCCATTCGATATGTGATTTGTGCTAAATTATGTGCGGGAATCTGTCAGGACTGTGTCTGGATCATATTTCAACCCAAAATCAAAAGTTTAGCAATATACTGAAATATACTTTAGGACCATTTGCATCTCCCATGCAAAAGAAATCTACTTTTGTTGAAGCAAGATGGGTTTTTTTATGTGTTTTATGTAAATTTTTGGACGTGTTATGAATAAAATAACACGAACATCTAATGAAAAGGTTTACATCCTTATAGATTTGCATTTGGAGAAAGTTAGATGTTGTATATTCATCCTGCAATATCCCCTGCTGGGATCTATTGTAGCATGGCAGTTATGATGAAGAAGATGATGATGATTGCTCTACATGGGCGTATAGTGATACATCCTTTAGTGGAAAAATATATATACATGTAATGTACACTGAACAAAATTATAAATGCAACACTTTTGTTTTTGCCCCCATTTTTCTTGAGCTGAACTCAAAGATCTAAGACTTTTCTATGTACACAAAAGGCCTATTTCTCTCAAATATTGTTCACAAATCTGTCTAAATCTGTGTTAGTGAGCACTTCTCCTTTGCCGAGATAATCCATCCACCTCACAGGTGTGGCATATCAAGATGCTGATTAGACAGCATGATTATTGCACAGGTGTGCCTTAGGCTGGCCACAATAAAACAAATGGTGGTCACACCAGATACTGACTGGTTTTCGGACCCCCCCGGACCCCCCAATACAGTAAAACTGCACATTTCGTTTGTTAGAATCTAGAATTTTTGTTAATATTACTTTTTTATATTGGTTTCAGCCAGAAATTTAATCTTGGTGCATTCATAAAAACACATGCAGTTTTTATTTATTTATTCATTTATTTATTTATTTTATAATGAAGCTATCACACTACCTGAGACACATTTAGTTAGTGTTACTATTTCTGCCATATGTACATTAACTGACAGTCACCACTGATAAGCTACTAATACATTTTTTAGAAACTTAAAGGGGTCATATGACGTTGCTAAAAAGAACATTATGTTGTGTATTTGGTGTAATGCCATGTGTTTGTGGTTTAAGGTTCAAAAAACACAATTTTCCAAATACTGTACATTATTGTTTCTCCGCTATGCCCCGCCTTTCTGAAAAGCGTTGATTTTTACAAAGCTCATCGGTCTGAATCCAGTGGGTACATAATTACGGATTATAATGACTTAAACTGTCTTTTTACGCGTTGCGTTGCATCGCTCCGCATAAACATAAAACCATGTCTGCATTTGTGATCGGAGAAATGACAAACAAGCGCTACTCTACGCTGCTCAAAACTCACGTTTGAATCGTCAGTGGCAAATTCTTTAAATATAAAAAAACGTGCTTACAGACTGTGAGTCAGAAGCGCCAGATTATCCTTGCAAAGTTGGAACTGCCCCACTCCCCTTTAATTTGCTGTAAAGTTGCTTTGCAATGATTTGTATCGTGAAAAGCGCTATACAAATAAACTTGAATTGAATTAATTACGACAAAAATAAAATAAGTTGCATTGTAAAAATATGTATAATGCAATCATAAACAAGTTACAGAGGTTTAAGCTTATGAAAAATTTTTTAAAACACATTTTGCTCGAAAACTGCATGAAATTCAAGTTTTGTTCCAAATTTGAGGTTGATATTGCGAAAAAATTAGCTTTCAGTAAGATTTTGATTGGGCGCAGTACCAAATGTTTCCACTAGATGAAATTTGCTTCCCGGTCATTTCCATCCCGACTGGATTAGATTTCTTAAAGGATACTGTTAGCTAAAAAACAGTAGGTAATTCACTTAATTTTTTTTTACTCAAGTTTGCAAAAAAACAGGCGCTTTTAACTCAGACAGGCTTTAAATCACCTGTAAAACACATTTTACCTGATTTCCTCTGGGAAAACGAGTCTGAATAGGTCTTGCCCAAAAGATTTGATTGCAACCATGTGCCTTACATCATGTTTTGGGTCTCCTTCAGGTTGTGTTTGGACCGCTGCCCTCAGGGGAACGTGTAATCATTCACTGTACAGTGCAGACGTCAGCTTTACTGGAACCAGATGGAGAGACAGAGTCTGTGTTTACCTGGACCAGTGGGCACATATATGACCGTCCCCGACAGACATGTGAAATCTGACCTCAGGTCAGCCAGAGAGACTGTTCTCCATCCAAACGTTCAGTAGGTGCGCACACTTACAGATGTATTTACATGTAAAGTGGATCCGGTTACATACACATTTCTCTGAGGTCTGGCTTTGAGCCAGGTGTCTGCAGAACTGCACGTGATTAAGTACGAGTAAAACAAGAAAGAAAGCAAGAGAGGGAGAGAGAGAGATATTTATGTCTCCAAAGCAGCAGTGAAGTCTCTCGTGAGCTGTTTTCCTTTCAATGTGAAACGGCCCCCTCAGTCCAAAGCCTCAACAATATCCACCTTGCTGTGCTGCCCGACATGTTTAAGATTGCCTACACGCTCCAATACAGGCTGCTTATAGTTTTCATGCACAGTTTTTTATGTGTAATATTCAAATATATATGTGACCCTGGAGCACAAAAGCAGTCATAAGTAGCACGGGTATATTTGTAGCAATAGCCAACAATACATTGCATGGGTCAAAATTATCGATTTTTCTTTTATGCCAAAAATCATTAGGATATTAAGTAAAGATCATGTTCCATGAAGATATTTTGTAAATTTCCTCCCGTAAACATATCAAAACTTTTTTGATTAGTAATATGCATTGCTAAGAACTTAATTTGGACAACTTTAAAGGCGATTTTCTCAGTATTTAGATTTTTTTGCACCCTCAGATTCCAGATTTTCAAATAGTTGTAACTCGGCCAAATATTGTCCTATCCTAACAAACCATACATCAATGGAAATATTATTTATTCAGCTTTCAGATGTATAAATCCCAATTTCAAAAAATTGACCCTTATGACCCCTATGGTTTTGTGGTGCAGGGTCACATATATAGATTTGATAACTTTTTCTGCCTTTATAACTTTTTTTTTTCCTGCTGGCGTAACAGATGCCTTATGGGTAAGAGAATTAATACTGTCCAATAATAACAGCCTGCTTTTCACGATCCAATCAGATCCAGTCAATAATATGAACAGAAGTCATGTCCTGTATTATTTAAGAAAATGTGTTTTCAGTCAAAAAAGTTAATAGGTTAAATACAAATGTGCTCCTTGTTTACAAATTTAAAACATAATGAGATTAAAGATTAATATGCTTCATTTATTAGTGCATGTCAATTTATGCATGCTACCTTTTATCAAAACATTTTATTTATTAATTTATGTAATTAATAATTCATATAATAATTAATATTAATTACTATTTTTAATGCTGTTTACAAAAATATGTATATCTAACTGCCTGGTGCTCCTTGCGTGGTGGTGAAAAATTACCATCATTTTTTTTTATTTCGGTGTTATGTTTTTATTGATTTAATATTTTGTATTTTTAGGGAACTATTTTATGTATAATTAAGTATAATTTTTGAGCATAGACCTGAAAATTAAAACTTAAATGAAAACTTTAACTGTCTTAAATCTTTAATGCTTTGACAATAATCTGTCAAATGTGCTCCAAAGTGATTGATAGATAAGCAAAAAATAAATAAAATTATTCAATAAAATTGAAAAAGTTACAGAGGGTTAAGATTTAAATGAATGAATGAATGAATGAATGAATGAATTAAAAAAGTTACAGGGGTTTAAACGTATTGTTTTGAAAAATGCACAGAAACACTGTTTTCAAAACATGCTTTGCTCTAAAACATTGAAAATCAAGTTGTGTTCCAAATTGGTTTAATACAAGTTGATATTAAAAAATAGCTGTCAATAATTTGTCAATGATTTTTTTTTGAGTGCAGTACCAAACATTTCCACTAGATGAAATTTGCTTCCCATTTATTTCCAGTGTGATCATTTTGTGGAGCATAAGATTGACTTTTTCAGGACCATTTAACCTTTTCGAATCATATCGATGTTTTTTTTTTTTGTTCACTTAGCAAATGCCAAAACCTTTACCAAGTTTCAGACCATTCCAAAGAAGTACAAAAAAAAAAAGTTAAATTTTTCTGTTAAAAATGACTGAAGAGCCAACACTAAAAAAATAGTGTTGTAAGTATATAATATAAGTATATAATATTGTGCTCTGTCCACAACTAAGACCAGCAAACCAGCTTAAACTGGTTAAAGTTGTCGTTTTCATCAGGGTTAGTACTCATTCTTTATCCTGCACTTTTTTTCTGTGAGTATTTGAGGTTTCTCTTAAACAGTACGTCAAGTAAATTGCTCTCACATGGCACTTTAACAGCTTTTAACTGCTCTCAGTGAGTCTCTTTATCTACCTGTGTGGCCAGAATAACTGCGTGTAAGTCTCTGTGTTTTACAGACGCTGCCTGTGACCATTAGCAGTGAGTCTGGATCAAAGTGTACTTTTGATAGGTGCAGGATTTTCACTTTAATGTGGCATTGTGGCATTTTGGCCCTCTGTGCCAGCTGGAAACCGTTCAGTACTGTCTGGGTCACTGTAGGTGTTTATGTATGTGGGTCACCAACATCAAATCTTCATGATCTTGAAGAATTTTATTCCAAATAAGAAAGCCTATTGAAAGTAAAAAGAAAAACTATTGCTTATTAGATTTGCGGCAATGTTTCGCAACTGCAGAGACTCACAAACACACATTCTAGGTCTTAAGGGGCGGCTTATTTCTTAAGCTTTTCCGGAGGGAAGTGTGTATTTGTCAGAGGCACCAGTCATACACTGGTTTGTGTGTGTGTGTGTGCATGCAAACATGTACGCAGTGTTCTTAATCACCCTGTCAAGAGCCCGCAGGCCTGCATACTGTAACTCTCATGGGGTCTTTATTGCTGTAGTTTGTGTATATATGTGTGTGTGTGTGTGTGTGTGTTTGAACACATGTCCGCATGTTCACGCTGAGTGAACGACGCTCCCGCAGGATCAGATATGGATAGCAAATTTAGTGCATCAGCAAAAATCAGCTGTTTATTTATAATAAAGTAGTTTTATTAGTCTGTTATTGCCTATTCCAGAACAGTTCAGGAAACAAGAACTTAATATTAAATAATGTTTCAAACACAGAGTAGCTATATGACGCGTTGTCGCGCAAGTCAATCAGCGAAGAGCTTATTGACACGTCCAGTTGTATCAGAAAATGGAGGAGAGCATGTGCGATGTTTTTATTCGTGCGAGTGACAATAAACATCCTGCAAGTAATCTAGAGCTAGTAACGCGATGCGAATATTTGCACCATTGCTTGTTTCAAGTCCAAATGAATCGGCGTGTTTCAACGAATCAAGTAAATGTGTCAATGAATCTCTTCAACACAGTTACTTGGCGCCATCTACTGCCGTAACGATGTAATCTAAAGAAAGAATCACTGAAAAGTCTGTTTCATTTTGATGAAAGATTCAAATATTTGATTCTTTATAATGGCAGTTTGATAAATAATTTACTGTAATACGTTAAAAAAAGTTTTGATTTCATGACTTTAAGGCATGTTTGAGAGTAATTCTACAAATAAAATATGCTAAAGCTACAAGATCTTTTTGTATAAAGAGAGCTGAGCCAGAACTCTCTCCATTCGATTCCTCAGGCAGTAAAACAAACCATCTCAGCCAAATGACACTGAGAAGCTCAGTTAATTGCCCGTAACTGATTGTCCTTGACATTTTTTTTATAAAAATGAAATCACTTTTAATACTTGCAACATGTGCTGTGTTTTCTCCAATGACTGTCCTTAAGGAGTGTCCATATTGGATTTGAGAGCTATAAGTGGATAGATACAGCTATGTTTCTGTATTTTGGTAACAGTGACTTCAGAAGACTTGGAATGTAGTCATATGAGTGGTTTGGATTACTTTAATGTTTTTTTTTTGTTGTCATTTTAGAGCTTACAGCCTCAGTTCGCATTCAAGAATAATGAGGATGTTCTTTAGAAATGTTCCTTTTGTGTTTCACAGAAGAAACAAAGTCGAGTGTGGAATGAAATGAGGGCGAGTAAATGAGACCGAATATTCATTTTTGTGGGTGATTAACCTATTCGTGAACCTAAACTTATTCTCGACTGGTTTGAACAAGTAAAACCATGTCTGCAAATCTGAAATGAACTCGTAATGAAGGCCAAATCCAGCATTTCCTCAGAGGCTGGAGTGTGTGACAGCAGCTGCGATGACACACACACACAGATCACCTCTAAAAATACCCTTCACTCAGGAAACAGCACATCATGAACGCGTACGCCATCAGGGAGCATTCGTGGCCCGATTCGCCGACAGCTATGTTTACCGTTCTGCCGCCACATCCTGCGGTCCTGGAAAATGCGAATTGTAAATATTTGGCTTTCTTTCGTTTTACGTGTCGCTGCTAGTTGAAAAATACAATTTGATTGAACCTGCTCGTCTGAGTGAGTTGTTTTGAGATTTTTGGATAAGTTGTTTACGTAGGCCTACTTCGTTTATCGCGCATGTTTGTTTTGAACAAACAAATTAGGTCTAGTGAATTCTTCCATAGCAAATGAGTCATGTGATTTACCCTTGTAATAAACAACAGGGTGGTTTTTCTCCAAGTAGAGCGTAACATTCTTGTTGTTTTGCAACTAGCCTAGTTTTTTTTTATTGCTCTCTCTTTAGTGTCTAATAATGTTAAATAATATGACATCAGCAGATTTTTATATTTAAGTTTTTTTGTTGTTGTTAATAGCTCAACAGGTACAACCGATGTCCTCAGAAAATAAATATAAATAATTTATATATATATATATATAATTTGTTAAGAGCTTATTGAGATGAATTGATTGTCAAAATATATTTTTTTAAATGAATAATTGTTATCTGTTTGCCCTCATATATCTGTGATGTCCTTTAGTTTTAAATAATATGAAACCTTTTTTTTAGTTGGTAGTTATTTTTTTATTTTAATTTTTTTTTGGTATATTATTTTTTACAAACTAATTGAATCCGAGATTTGTATAGTAATTGATTTTTTGTAGATTTAATTGATTTGACTATATATATTTTTAGATTGTTAATTGTAAAAAGCATATACCCCTGAATCTGAGACATTAAAGGGCAAAATCCACTTTTACATGGTGTTTGGACATAAATGTGTGTTGGCAGTGTGTGAACACAACCACCCTACAATGATAAAAATTCACCCACTCCTCATTTTTTAATTCCCATTAAACCAAGTCAGTCTCACTAGGCCTGCCATTTTGATCAGTAGCCCCTCACTGCAGAACACAAGATCCACGGGGTGTGGTTGGATAAACATCTAAGGGGTGGAGATTGGTAGGTTTAGGGGTGGGTTTAGGGATCAGGGTCTGGAGACGGGTAGGTTTAGGTATATGTAAGGTGGGAGGAGTTGAATCTGGATCCAACCACGCCCCCTGGATCTTGTGTTCTACAGTGAGGACCATCTCGTTTTGATTCTCATGCAGTGTGATGTCACATTGCATAGGGCGGGGCCACGGGGTTTGATTGACATCTCTGCATTGCTATAGTTTCCACCCTCAGCAGTTACGCTGTCCTTCATTTTCTCTGTGCTCCAGCAGTTGTAACATCAACAAAGTCTCGCAAGCAAGCCTGATGCTCTGTGTTTGGATGTAAGACTGAACATAACAGTCTTCATTTTCTCCCAACATCTGAGCTGCCGAGGACGCTGTGGATTACTTTCATTATTCAAGGTAATGCGCCTCAAAATCTACATAAATACGTGAATCACTCCAGACTCCTTTGTGAATGTCATGTTGTTATAGTGCTTAACGTTTTAACCGTATTTGTGTGCGTACATCAAGTATTTTTTTACTGATCAGCGGCGTGCTTGTGAGATTAGTTTGCGCTATTCGTAGCGTGAGATTCGTTCGGTAGCGCGATCGCGCAGCTCGGTCAATTGATCCGCGCCGATGACAGGTCAGCGCGGCGCGAGCTCTGTAACATCGCGCTGTTTCGTTCCACTTTCAGTGCATTTGGCTTCTCATATGTACGTTATGTTGTATCATCATATGTACTCATATGTTATGTTGCTTCTACCGGCTGTTTATTGCTGTAGATATGCAATGTAGAAAGACATATACGTGACGCCCTCTTCTGGAGACAGGGCGGGAATATGCAGCTCATTTGCATTTAAAGTGATACACTCCAAAACTTTTTTTAGACACACCCCAAAAAAATGACATTTTCAAGCTGTTATAATAAATTATCTGTTGGGGTATTTTGGGCTGAAACTTCACAAACACATTCTGGGGACACCCAAGATCAATATTACATCTTGTAAAAAGGGGCATAATAGGTGCCCTTTAATAAATAAACTAAACTTTTTTTATATACATGTAAACAGTACTGCATTCCTCATGCACCAACAATTACAGAGAGAAAAGGAAAATTGTGAAGGGGAAAATACAGATAGCAGCATGAAAGAATGGTTATAAAAGGAGGTACATTTGTGAAAGAGCGACAGAAATAGGATTGTTATGATGTTCTCCTTTCAAAATGACAGCGGGGAAAATCAGTGAAAGACAGATTTGTTGCAGTTTACGAGCATTATGCTAGCGTTGATCTTTCCACACTGATCTTTTTCCAAATCCAGACTCATTCTATAGAACATCCTTTCAGCCATTCATAGGTCTCAAGCAGGCTGATAAACACACAACAATTTCTCTCTATTTCATTCTTTTTCTGTCTAAAGACTCTTATTTGGTTTAAAATAGGAACTAGGCACCATTCAAACCCATTTACTCATGTATAAGTGGTGTAAGCCGTCTCAGTAGAGCTGTACTGTAGAAGCTAATCACTAACGTTGAGAATACAGATGTCTTTAGTCATGTGACTAGTTTAATCATCTAAACTGAATGTGTTATGACATTGTTTGTTCATTATTCATAACTCGCACTAAGGCTATAAAAAATTTTTGTATCTGCATTTTTACCCATCTGCTTACTTGAGCCAAAAATGTGCAAACACTGATGAAAAAGGAGAAAGCCCAAAAATCCAGCCAAATATTCAAGACTGAACACTATTATAATGTAGTGTAATAGCCCTGCTGTACATTTTTTTTATGTGAAGATAAAATTACATTAAAACTGACTTTGAGTAGTGGATATAGGCCTACTAGGAATATACTTTTTCATTAATATACACATTTTATATATATATATATATATAGAGAGAGCAACTAATTGAAATAAATTGTTGGCTTTCTGTCTTGATACATGTTTTATTTTATTATTTATCTTTTTTCCTCATGGGTTATTATATTACATTACTCGTCCCTCAAAATAAATGTTAGTTGCAGACCTTTTCTATTTAATTGTTGCCTGTTTGCCCCCATTAAATTATTTGAATTGATACATTTTTATATCTTAATATAATACATACGTTACATTAACATTTTTCTCAACTTTGTTGCAATCCTTCTTTATATAGTTGTTGCCTATTTTCCCCCAGTATTTCATGGCTTATACATGTAATATTTTCTCATAATTGTTTGTTGCAGAATTTAAATTTTTGCATATTTAATTATTTTCTGTTTACCCCCAGATTATTTTATTTTTTATTTTATTTAATTTTTTGTTTTATTAATAATTATTTCTCATGGCTTATTGTATTACATTAATCTTCTCTTAAAATAATTTTTAGTTGCAGACCTTATTTACAAAACTGTTTCCCATTAATCCACAGATATTAATTTTATTTTATTTCTTGTGGCTTATTTTATCACATTAATCTTCTTAATAATTTTTTTTTTCATTTCTCATGGCATATTATATTACATTTATTCTCTCTTAAAATAATTTTTAGTTGCAGTAATTACTTACAGAACTGTTACCTATTTATCCCCAGATTTTTTTATTTTTATTTTATTCTATTTTATTTTTCATGGCTTATTTTACTAAATTAATCTTCTCCCTTCATAATATTTCATGTCTCCAGTGCACCTTTCTGCATTGATTCAGGTGTGGGTATTCTTCTTTATTGTTCTCATACATAAATAAACATCCACCTTATAAATAAATCACAGAATGATTATATAAGGGTTTTAAGTGAAGGTGGTAATTCTCAAGGTGTGATCCGGCTGTCATGGTCTTCACCCACTAATGTTCTGCGAGGCCTCGGGCCCTTGAAAGGACGTGGTGAAAATGATGTACTGTCTGCAATTAGCATGGCTACCAATTAAATGTGCAGCCATTCAGATGGTGTGTGTGTGTGTGCGTGTTTCCCGGGTGTAGCTGGCTCTGGAGGATATGAACACACAGGGAAGATTCTTTATGCTCACGGCCAATTTCTCACTTTAATTGCACTGCTGCCTTTGCAGTTGATTATCTGCCAATAGAAACACACTCTCTCTCTCTCTCTCTCTCACACACACACACACGTGTATATAAGCAAGCATTCATGTGAATGCACAAATTTAATGGTTAAAAAGTCACATGACTTCTGACTGACAGAGAATCTGCACTGAAGTATCCTGCTAATAACTTCGTCAACGTAATTAATACACATTTTTAGGAGCATATGTGTGTAATTAGCCACTCGCAAGCAAATTCAGATCATTAGTCGCCTTCTAAATTGATACATCATCATCATCATCATCATCTGTGTCCATGCTGGATAAAACTTCCCCTGGACTCTTTGTCTCCCCTGGAAAATGTGTAGTTTTTCCAGCCAAAGCTATTATAGCCGCAGGGTTAAACAGGCCTGCGGTGATCTGCATTTACATGTAATTAGCGGTGCTGTTAAGAGTTCGCTAATGTCAGACATCATCAGCGTCTGTATCTCGCTCGGCAGGTTTGTGACACTTGGACGTGCGGGATGGTGCCAGTTTGCCGGAGGCGTATTCTGAGTGTGTCCGCTATCAGAAACAGTGAGTTTATTAGAGAAAGTCTCTCAGTGGTTCATTTATGCGTAAATATACTGAAAGTTTGTCTAGATATAAAGCAAGCACACTGTAAAAAAAAGATTTTTTTAATTGTAAGTAAAACAACAGAACACATTTTACAAGAAAATGCTATTTCATTCTTTCTACATGAGCGGCGCGGCACGACAAAATACAGTAGAACCCATTATAATCAGTGATGCTGTCTACACTGGATGCGACAAGACAAATCCCCGACAGTAAACTGATGCCTCGTACGTACGAGACACACATTTCAATTGATTTTCAATGGTTGTTTTGTCGCTGCAGTGTAGGCAAGCTCAAACCTGGTTTATACTCTCTGCATCTGCACAAGCGCAAAGGTGTGCGCGATGAAAATGACGTCATCGTGAAATGGGTGGCCATGTGCTTTGAGTGCACGAGGCCCCTTTTCGCATTACAGTGTGCATGGCATTTTTTGTAAGTTTGCTTCACTTCAGACTCTGGCCGAAAAGGCACACGTGATTTTTTTTTTCCTACACCAGTTCAGTAAAAACTCTGCCCCGCAGCTGATTCGAAACATTTAATTGGACATGTCAATCACAGTGATGAATGCCTACACCAAACACAACTCCTAACCCTACCCCTCACCCTAACCCTAAACTTCAACCAATGAAATTAGCTGCTGAGCGGTATTTTCACTGAACTGGTTTGAGAAAAAAATTGCGCAACAGGCACGTCTGTACTGGTATTTGTATGAAGCAGAAGCAGCTTTGTGTGAAGTTCAAACTCCATCAGGGAAAACGATGAATAGATTTTTTGCATAATTTGTCTAAGGCTTTTTAAGTGAAGTACATTTTATTTTAATTGAATAAAAATAAAATTCAAATTAATTTAGATGAATAGGATTTAACACTATTTGCTTAAAATTGTCTTGTGTTTGATGCAAAATAAACCCAAAAGCTGAAGATTTTTTAACCAGTTTGTACATAAAGAAATTAATTCATCAACTCATTCATCAAACGAGATGTCAAGTTTTGAGTCTTGTACCGGCAAATTACGTCTTCTCACTGATGATTCCCGCGGCGTGGCGCGACAAATGTTGCATCCGGTGTAGACACCGGTGAAGAGGTGTGAAATTGACTAGCATTTTCTGAGTGAAAATGGTTTCTTTGTCACTTTTTTTCAATACAGTCTTTTTGAGGTGATTTTACCTCAGGTAAGGTATGTTGTTAAACAACGCACAGTGGAGCTTTTATAAAATGGTGGGAATAGCAATATGACAAACATTGCTAATGTTCAGTAAATAAGTACTTAATTTAAATAATAATTATCCGAATAAACAATTCTACTTTTTAATTAGGCCTTTTAATATGGTTAAGTAGCCTTACTGTTCGCTGGTTACAGTAAGCATAGCTGAAATAGCGCAAACTGTTATCTTGCGTGATGAATATGAAATTTAACTTGATTTATATGGACAATTTGTGATTACTTTAGCTAGCAACATAATGCTAGCGTGTTTTTGGTTGTTGCCAAGGCATAGCTATGTGGTTACTGGGGGGTTTTACGTGGTTGCTAGGCATGACCCAAGTCCTTTGGATAAGGCTCAGGTATGTCTATCTATGAGATTTTTATGTCGTTTTAGTGTCCGCCAAACGAAAATAGTAAAGTTTTGACGCATATTTCATGTTTGTAGCACAGAACGAGTTTGTTTAACCTCATAAATATAAGCAATAGTACTAGTGATGTTAGTCTTAGCAAGCACGGCTAATAAAGATTTATTAGCTAATTCCACCCATGTTTACAAACCTAACGGGTACAAATGTGATGACTACATCTTTAAAACCATACAAAAAACAATCTTAGCTCGGTAAACATATGCATATCTCTGTCCCCAGTCTCTGATAGCATCTCTGGCAGAGAAAATATATGTAAACTCTAACGTATTTGCAGTGATGAGCAGGGATTGTGTGAATTGAAATGCTCTGATAGCGCCACAGGAGATGAGAAGACACTTTACGCGCCTTGATATGTCATTACCGGCCGCAGCTGATATAATGACGCCGTCTTCTAAACGTGCAATTTTCACAATAGTATTCCTTGTCAGACTAGCAAGGAATACAGTGACGAATTGGAAGAAAAGGCCTCTGTGTGTTTGTGCGCAATTGTAGAAGTGGCAGTGGCCTCTGTGGGCATGCTGTGTGTAATCAAGCACAAAGTGAGACGCAGGCGGTAAGCGCACTGACACAGCACACACTCCTCACACCCGTGCGCTGCTGTACGAGTGAGCCTGTCAGTAATCGGACTCCTGTTGTCAGACGAATCGTCCTTCGTTTTCCCTGGTGTCAGACATCTCTGACTGTTTGTCTCTGGTTCGGTCCATCTGGCCTGTTTTTTCTGTTTTAGTTACACATTAGCTGTGTTCCAAAGCCTGGCATTTTAAAGCAATCCCAGAATGCACTTCAACGAGCTGAGGAAATAAATCCAATATGGCTGACTAAGTGAAGAGAAATTACTGTAAATTATGGACCGATTTACTGAGTATTTCTGCGTGCTGTGTATTTTTAATGCTTAGAAAATAGAGATTTATGTCGCAGCCGATAGCCTTGTGGGCAGCGCGCCGAAATTCAGCGCCATTGCGCTTTGGGTGTCCCATGTTCGAATCCCGACTCGAGGATCTTTCCCAATCCCGCCCCCCTCTCTCTCTCCCCCACTTCGCTTCCTGTCATGTCTGATCTGTCCTGTCACAATAAAGGCAAAAATGCAAAAAAAAAAATTTTAGAAAATAGAGATTTATTGCTTTATCTTAGCAAAATGTTGATGGCAAACCCACTTGAAATATGGTGTGGACTAACTAGCTATGGTTATTTATTTATCATTTTTGAGTGAAAATAGTTTCTGTGCTAAGTTAACGATTCAGTATTAGCTTTTAGAGTAGCTGTGTATTCTGATGAAATAATTTTTTACAGACTCAAAACTGCCCAAAATTGGACACCCATAAACAAAGCTATAGCATATTTCAAATTGTATACTTCTATGGTGCCATTGAGATGAATGCTGCTAACAGAATGCTCACTAGGTTTTGGAACAGAGCTAATGTGTTAGCAAAACACAGATCCTCATACTTACCTGCACCCCGCCGTGACAAACTCACTGCCATCATGATATCGCACCTCAGCGGTGGCAGAAATGTGCGTTGCATTTCCATTTGTGTGTGTGTGTGTGTGCGTGCGTGCGTTGTGTTTGGAGGTAATTTCTAGCATATCATTTGGATCCTGTTCTGAAACCGCAGTACAGTTGAAAAACATTTCCTGATTTTAATCAAACAACATGTTTTTAATGGCCGGCGTCCCAAAGCACCACAGCTGCGTTTAAAATCCGCTGCCAAAACAGTCATTACGGCATTAACGGTGAATCAATACAGCACAGGCCGGATTCCAGAAGTCTTGAATCGATTCCAAAGCGGACAGCCGTTCCTTGTGGACCTTGGAGAAATTTAGGCCTGTAATATAAGAAACTTTATTAACTGAGCGTGAAATGCGGGGTGAATTTCTCTCGGTATAGTTGACAATTTAATAAAAATAGAAATGTAAAGTTACATTGGCAATTCATAAGGGTGTATGGCTAGGAAATATAAAGATCAAATGAATGCTGTAGTGAAAGAGCTCTTACATGTAAGTATATGGTAATACCATGGTACTTTTTGCTACTTATTTGTAAATTTTTGGCCTTATTCCTGGTAAACACTGTAATACTTTGAGATGAAACTCATGTAACCATGGTATTTACATGCTGTTCCAAGGTACTTCCAAGAATACCATGCTAAATGTTGTAAAAAGACATAATACCATGGTATTTTTGGTACGTTTTTGTTAGTTTTATCAGATAATTATTAATGTGTGTTTGTTTGTTTATCTATTTTTAAATTGTCAATAAAGTGGGTATATTTTCAAGAGTTTTTCATGGAAAATTTTTATTTATTTATTTAAATTATGTGGTGTATTTAATATGATATAACAACTAATTTTAAATATATATTTTAATAAGAAAAAGAAGAAGCGTTATTATTGATGAATAATATAACAGTTTTTGGTCATAAAATAAATGTTTCAATAATAATAATAATAATAAATATATAAATAATAATTAATTTAATTAATCTTATTATTAGTAGTATTTATTATTAGTAGTAGTATTAATGACAAACTCTTGAAAAATATTAAAAATGGTTTTTGTTTCTTTCTTTTTTCTTTCTTTCTTTCTTTCTTTCTTTCAATAATAATAATAATAATAATAACAGACTCTTGAAAAATATACCACAGTTTTTGGTCATAAAATAAATGTCAATAAATGTTTCAATACTACTACTACTAATAATAATAAATATAATAATAAACATAAATAATAATTAAGTAATTATTTTAATTATTTTATTAGTAGTATTTATTATTATTAATGACAAACTCTTGAAAAATATGAAAAATAGTTTCTTTCTTTCTTTCTTTCTTTCTTTCTTTCTTTCTTTCTTTCCATAATAATAATAATATCAGCAACAACAGACTCTTGAAAAATATTCCACAATGTTTTGGACGTAATTTTAAAGTGCATTTCTTTCTTTCTTTCTTTCTTTAATAATAATAATATCAGCAACAACAGACTCTTGAAAAATATTCCTCAATGTTCTGGACGTAATTTTAAAGTGCATTTCTTTCTTTCTTTCTTTCTTTCTTTTTTTTGAAAAATATTCCACAATGTTTTGGACTTCATTTTAAAATGCATTTCTTTCTTTCTTTCTTTCTTTCTTTCTTTCTTTCTTTCTTTCAAGCGTTCTCACTTCCTTGCATTTTCAGTGAGAATTGAGAAAGTGTCCAGGTTGTGAATGTTAGACAAGGTCAAACCAACAGAGGTCATTTACATAATAAAATTGTTAGCAAAAACAGGCCGTTTAGTTCTAAGAGTGGAAAATGGTCATGTGAAACTTAATTATGACATTTTTGGTGCAAGAAACC